TAGGGACATGACCTCCAGCCCTAGCTGGACTGCCTGCTGAGTTGCTGGCCTTGCTGCTGCTGCACTAGCCAGACTGCACTGATGTAGGAGGCCACGGGCTGTGGTCCCACTCTGCCTCCGGCTGGATCTCACCTGGTCAGGCTCAGAGGCTCGGGCTTCAGTCCCAGCACTGCAGCAGCCCGTGGGCTCTGGCCCTGCGTCCAAAGGCTGCTTGGAGCTCTGGCCCCGTGCTGCCACAAGCCTGGTCCTGCACTGCCAGGGGCTGTCTAAGTGCCTCAGGCTGATGCGGGCTCCAGCCCAGTTGCTGTCAGGTTGCCGCCAGCCCCCACCCTATAACACTGCTTCAGCCCACCTCCTCCTGGATTGCCTTCCTGCCAGTACGCTATTGGGGTTCTCTGATCCAGGAACATCTGTGGTCATCTGACCAGAGAATTCCAGTTTTGGGGGATGCAACCTGTAGTCACCTGAAAGGTCCTACAGGTGGGACATATTAAACATGTTACAATAGTTATGTGAAAAGATATTCACATCTAGCTCTTCATTTTAGGAAACACTAAAATAGTAGGAAGATTTCATAAAGATCCAAAGTGAATAATTTGGCTAGATGAACGCAGAATAAAACTGTAAACCTTCTCAGGCTAGATTTTTGTACCTAGCTATAAAAGCTCAACTTTCATAGCTTCCTAATTTCAAGCTCTCTTTTTCTGTCATTGTGATAATTAATACCCTATTGCATTCCAATTACAAACACATGCATCTTGAACAGAGCTTGGGTTTTTTATTTTTTTAAATCACATTGCTGAACAAGGGTTACAAATATGAGGTCACATGGTTATTTAGAACCTGAACCACAAAACTGAATGAAAAGATTACCTCTCCTGTTCTAAAATACATTTCTAGTATGTACAAAATTCTCATCCTTTTCCCTCCCCCTACAACTTAGCATACTAAAACTTTTTAAGGAAAAAGTGTCCCTCATCCTCTCCCACTATTCAATCCTCTATTCTCCCTCACTGTCCAATCACACACTCCTTACTCCCCACTGTGAACCTAATAAATCAACCTGGGAACACACTGCACCTAAAATCAGTCCCTGTTAGTTCATGTCCCCCACTTCCACCTTGCTCCTGCGAGCATAGGAACTGTTGTTAAATTAAAAACTAAGGAATTAATTACTGTAAAGGAGAACTACTGAGATACTAGATCAGTAATAGGCAACCAAGACTAGTGAGTGGCCCTCCTTTGTCTCAGTGGACTGCGTGATCCAGTGGTGGGCAATCGTGAGGCCTCCTAGAGTTCCACCTACAGCCCGTGCTACCTCACACTGCCTCCTTCCCCCACACCGCTCTCTCACACACTGAAGCCCTGCAACTTTCTACTCCTTTCCCCTTCCTCCCAGCACTTTTGGAGCGCCATGAATCCACTCGTCCTCTCCCCGCTCCCAGAGCTTGAACAGCCACAAACACCTGACAAGACAAGCCTGCCTCCTGCAGTATAATATAGCCCAACAAACAACAAAAAGCTAAACTGAATCCTAGAATAGAATGAAACTGTCAAAGCTGAAATCTAACCTAGCAGAACAAGGAAATCTTTTTAAATGTGTGGTAGAAATGTAGCCGTGTTTGTCTGGTGCAGCTACACAGTCCTGTTTTTTAAATGTGTGTCACTTATACTCATCTACTGTTTGCTGAGCTAAAACCTCCAAGTACAAAGGGGTGGATTGACAAAATTTGTAGTATTTAGTCTTGTTTTATTTTGGCTAAAAATATTTTGTATTAAATCTTTCAGAGACTTAATTTCTGTTTCCCTATCTAGTCTTTAGACTGAAAGGAGAAAATGTCCTATGCAACTGACCTGAATAGGATGGTTAATGATTACCAAAGCCTATGCACAGCTTATAGGCTAATATAGGTTGCGACTAATCTGGAGGATAGGGTCATAATTCAAAACGATCTGGACAAATTGGAGAAATGGTCTGAGGTAAATAGGATGAAGTTTAATAAAGACAAATGCAAAGTGCTCCACTTAGGAAGGAACAATCAGTTTCACACATACAGAATGGGAAGCGACTGTCTAGAAAGGAGTCTGGCAGAAAGGGATCTAGGAGTTATAGTGGACCACAAGCTAAATTTGAGTCATCAGTGTGATGCTGTTGCAAAAAAAGCAAACATGATTCTGGGATGTATTAACAGGTGTGTTGTGAGCAAGACATGAGAAGTCATTCTTCCACTCTACTCTGTACTAGTTAGGCCTCAGTTGGAGTATTGTGTTCAGTTCTGGGCACCACATCTCAAGAAAGATATGGAGAAATTGGAGAAGGTCCAGAGAAGAGCAGCAAGAATGATTAAAGGTCTAGAGAACATAATCTATGAAGGAAAGCTGAAAGAATTGGGTTTGTTTAGTTTAGAAAAGAGAAGACTGAGGGGGGACATGATAGCAGTTTTCAGATATCTAAAAGGATGACATAAGGAGGAGGGAGAAAACTTGTTCATCTTAGCCTCTGAGGATAGAACAAGAAGCAATGGGCTTAAACTGCAGCAAGGGAGGTTTAGGTTGGACATTAGGAAAAAGTTCCTAACTGTCAGGGTAGTCAAACACTGGAATAAATTGCCCAGGGAGGTTGTGGAATCTCCATCTCTGGAGATATTTAAGAGTAGGTTAGATAAATGTCTATCAGGGATGGTCTAGACCAGTGGTCCCCAACCAATTGAGGTTGCCGGGCGCCAGGAGGCATGGCCGTTCGCCCGCTGGACGCCAAAGGGCGGGGATACTTGCTCGCCTGGGGGCGGGGCCCCCCCATAGCCGCGTGCCTGGGGACAGGGCTCCCCCCATGCGCCACGCGCCCGGCACCCCCTCCAAGGGCCGCACGCCCGGGCCCCCCCCCCCCCACCACCCCGCCCGCCACCGGGCGAGG